GTTTGACAGAAGGCATTAGGTCTAGTTCCGTTGTCAGTTATTGTGCCTCTCGATTCAAGTTCATTCTGGGAGAAAACCTGACTTGGGTAATCTTCACGGATGTTGAGACGTAACGACAGCTTTCTTTGTTAGTGTGGAGTTTTAAATGCAAATATTACCCATTTATTTGATATGTTTATTGTACCAGCCATGTTTGTATATGTTAATTTGAACTGTGTACATATTTTTGTGATATACACTTGTGGCTAAAATTCCCTCGATATTTGGCAGTATCTTGGTATCTACTTCTGGGTCATATTTTACTGTTGATGAACGTAGATATCAAACACTGAATACCATCAAAAAGTTTCCTGGATTTTTTTCCGTAACTGTACAAATTCCCTTGTATAAAAATAACTCACTGACCAGGTATGGAGTGAGGACTGATTGTAATAATAAATACAACTAATGAAATATTACTTAGAGCTGATAAACAATGAAATTTATGCTGAATAAAGTACACGAAAAGATTTGAATGATCTCACTTGGCAATACCTTGAGGTAGGTAGACTAAATAAGTCTTTACGTTTATGTTCATTATTTTGTCACTCGGTTGAATCATTTATTTGATCAGATTTAATTTGTATTTGTTTATTTTTGTACATACTGATATATTTGTTTTATTGTTTGTTTGATAATATATTCTGTAATTAAAACTACTGCATGTATTTCAATATACCCCATAGTAATGAGGTTATGATTTTGGTGGGATCTATTCCTTGGACCTGTAATACAAAGAGAAGTTGAATTTGTGATTTTGTTAGACCCTTAGAGGTCAAGGGTCGTAATATATATATATATATATATATATATATATATATATATATATATATATATATATATATATATATATATATATATATATATATATATATATATATAATTTTTCAGAAAAAGCTAGATCATAGAAAACGGGAAATTCTGACGAAAACAGGAAATTTTGTTAACGGAAACGGAAAGTTTTCTGCTATAGAAAATGGATATCTACTTTCTGGGAAAGTTGATTCTTTCCCGAAAAAGTAGATTATCTACTAAAGTAGATTATCGACTTTGGAAGTAGATTATCGACTTTTAAATATTACCTAATTTTGCAGAAGTAGATTATCGAAAACGGGAAATTTGTATCATAAAAATGGAAATATCTACTTTCCGGGAAAGTTGGTTATCTACTTTCCGGAAAAGTAGATTATCTACTTTTCAGGAAAGTAGATTATCGATTTTTAGGAAAGTAGATTGTCGATTTTGGGAAATATTACCTAATTTTGCAGAAGTAGATTATCATAGAAACGGGAAATTTGTATCATAAAAATGGAAATATCTACTTTCCGGAAAGTTGGTTATCTACTTTCCGGAAAAGTAGATTATCTACTTTCGGGAAAGTAGATTATCGACTTTTCAGGGAAGTAGATGTCGATTTTGAGGAAATATTACCTAATTTTGCGAAGTAGATTATCATAGAAACAGGAAATTTGTATCATAAAAATGAATATCTACTTTCCGGGAAAGTTGGTTATCTACTTTCTGGAAAAAGTAGATTATCTACTTTTCGGGAAAGTAGATTATCGACTTTAGAGGGTAGTAAAGATTTATGAACTTTAAATATAGAAATTTGTATCTCATAAAAATGGAATATATCTACTTTCCGGAAAGTTGGTTATCTACTTTCGGAAAAAGTAGATTATCTACTTTTCGAGGAAAGTAGATTATCGACTTTTCGGAAGTTATAAAGGAAGTAGATTTTTGGAAATATTACCTAATTTTGCGAAGTAGATTATCATAGAAACAGAGGAAAATAAAAATGGGAAATATCTACTCTCCGGGAAGTTGGTTATCTGCTCTGGAAAATAGATTATCTACTTTTGGAAAGTAGATTATCGACTTTTCGGGAGTGATAGATTATAGACTTTGTGAAATATTACCTAATTTGCGAGTAGATTAACATAGAAACGAAATTTGTATCATAAAAATGGTAAATATCTACTTTCCGGGAAGTTGGTTATCTTCTTTTCCGGAAAAGTAGATTATCTACTTTCGGGAAAGTAGATTATCGATTTTTCTGGAAAGTAGATTGTCGATTTTTGAAATATTACCTAATTTTTGCGAAGTAGATTATCATAGAAACAGGAAATTTGTATCATAGAAAATTGGGAATATCTACTTTCCGGAAGTTGGTTATCTACTTTCGGAAAAAGTAGATTTTCTTTCAGGAAAGTAGATTATCGACTTTTTTGGGAAGTAGATTATCGACTTTTTTTAAATATTACCTAATTTTGCGAAGTAGATTATCATAAACGGGAAATTTGTATCATAAAAATGAAATATCTACTTTCCGGGGAAAGTTGGTTATCTACTTTCTGGAAGTAGATTATCTACTTTCGGAAATGGGTCAGCATCGCTTTTTCGGGGTAGTAAATTATAGACTTTTTTTTGTGAAATATTACCTAATTTTGCAGTAGATTATCATAGAAACAGGAAATTTGTATCATGAAAATTGGGAATATCTACTTTCCGGGAAAGTTGGTTATCTACTTTCCGGAAAAAGTAGTTACTGCTACTTTTCGGGAAATAGATTATCATTTCAGGAAGTAGATTGTCGATTTTTGGGAAATATTAACTAATTTTGCAGTAGATTATCATGAAAACAGGAAATTTGTATCATAAAAATGGGAAATATCTACTTTCCAGGAAAGTTGGTTATCTACTTTCCGGAAAAGTAGATTATCTACTTTTCAGAAAGTAGATTATCGATTTTCAGGAAAAGTATAGATTGTCGATTTTTGGGGGTAGATTATCGACTTTTTTTTTTAAATATTACCTAATTTTTGCGAAGTAGATTATCATAGAAAACGGAAATTTGTATCATAAAAAATGGGGGAATATCTACTTTCCGGGAAAGTTGGTTATCTACTTTCGGAAAAGTAGATTATCTACTTTTCGGGAGAAAGTAGATTATCGATTTTTCGGGAAAATGAATTGTCGTTTTTTTGAAATATTACCTAATTTTGCAGAAGTAGATTATCTTAGAAGCAGGAAATTTGTATCATAAAAAATGGAAATATCTACTTTCCGGGAGAAAGTTGATTCTACTTTTCTGGAAAGTAGATTATCTACTTTTCAGGGAAAGTGAATTATCGACTTTTCGGGGTAGTAGATTATAGACGACTTTTGGCGAAATATTACCTAATTTTGCGATAGATTATCATAGAAAACGGGAAATTTGTATCATAGAAAATTGGGAATATCTACTTTCCGGGAAAGTTGGTTATCTACTTTCGGAAAAATGAATTATCTACTTTCAGGAAAATAGATTATCGACTTTTGGGAAGTAGATTATCGACTTTTTTTTATATATTACTAATTTTGCGAAGTAGATTAACATAGAAAACGAGAAATTTGTATCATAAAAATGAAATCTCTACTTTCCGGGAAGAATGGTTATCTACTTTCCGGAAAAAGTAGATTATCTACTTTTCGGGAAAATGAATTATCGATTTTTCAGGAAAGTAGATTGACCGATTTTTGAGAAATATTACTAATTTTGCAAGTGATTATCCATAGAAAACAGGAAATTTGTATCATAAAAAATGGGAAATATCTACTTTCCGGGAAAGTTGATTTATCTACTTTCTGGAAAGTAGATTATCTACTTTTCGGGAAAGTGAATTTATCGACTTTTCAGGGTATTAGTAGATTATGAGCTTTTTGTGAAATATTACCCTAATTTTGCAGAAATAGATTAACGCATAGAAACAGGAAATTTGTATCATAAAAATGGAAATATCTACTTTCCGGGAAAGTTGATTTATCTACCGGAAAAGTAGATTATCTATTTTCGGGAAAGTAGATTATCGATTTTTCGGGAAAGTAGATTGTCGACCTGAAATTATACCTAATTTTGCGAAGTAGATTATTATAGAAAACGGGAAATTTGTATCATAGAAAATTGGGAATATCTACTTTCCGGGAAAGTTGGTTATCTACTTTCCGGAAAAGTAGATTACT